TTTTTATCTCATGGTATACACACACATACTTGTTATTTCATAATATATTCTCGGATGTAATCATTGTCCTCATCAATACAGAAAGGAGGTTTCAATCGATTTTCTGTTTTTATTTTTCTTCTTTTTTTTTTGTTTAGTGCACAATCGTTTGATTGTATGTGTATTTATAATACATTTGTTTTGGAAATTCCCTTTCATATTCACGTTAAAATATGGAAAAATGAATTTGTAAGGATATTTTTTTATGCAGAGTATGTTGTACGTGTATAACACAATATACACATAAGTAAATTATTGAAATAAAAGATGTTTTGATTAAGTCAAATTAAATTAGAGATCGTATTAATCAGAAAAAATATTTTATTCACCTCTCGAGACTCTTACTAGAATATTTTTACAATATTATATGAATGCATAAATAAAATGTACGAAATATTTGCTCCGAATTTGAAACAAATGTCATTGTAATATAAATGTGAAGGTCTTAAAAAAATTGCTATTTTTATTCCAAAAGAAGATTAATAATATCCGATTTAAATTCTTAAAATTAAATTTACAAATAAAATTAAAATAATCGATGCTAATCCTTTTGTAAATCCAAGACCATATATGATTTGACCCGAACCACCAAATGAGGGAAATGGCCGTGTACCTATGGTAGAATAATATTATGAAACGTTTGTTATGAGACCTGCTCCTATTAAAGAAATGACTTTCCAAATTAAAAGTTGACATATATACATCAAATAATATAGACATGCTTATCAATGCAAGAAATTGAAATAACAATTACGAAAGAAATCAGTTGTAGAGCCAAAAAAATTATGTGAACATTAAATTTGAAGAAACAAAAAGAACAGTCTCACAAGAACGTATGCGACCTTAATGATTTATGAGAAAATTCGCGGAATAATTGATCATTTTTTCGGAACTCTTGACTATGTTGTCCAGAGAGATTATTAACTGACAAGTCCACTTTCAATATAGCTTCTTATCATCATATAACAATATAGGCGAGCAATTTCTCATGATATAACACTCCTATAAAAGAGACCTCATGACATAAAAACTACTCTGTATATTCCGTCATAACATGAAATTATTTCCAAAGCAGACTGCATTCTGTATTTGAATATGTTTAAATTAAAAAATAAATCTTAAATTTAGAAATTGTTTTTTCCCCTTTGAGGAATCGGAGCCATTCGGTTCTTCTTATCTCGATAAAATAGCATCTTTTACATTCGTAACTCCATCTATATGAATGCTACTTCTAGATTTCTGACTTAATATCTTAATACTTGATCTTAAGTCTTAATATTGCACCTAGATTTGGATATTGTTAGGAATACAAATACTGTCCAGAAATAGTTTAGACCTTGAATGTGTCCTATCCTCGAGCCAGCTTATACTCGTCTCTAATGTATGAGATCTATGAAGTATTATGCAATAAAAATTGTGAATAAATTGACAGCAGTGTTTTAATTTTACTGAATGCCAATTAAACACTATTTCTCCCTTCCTCAAATTCAAATTCGTGGACTTATTGCTGGAAAATTTTTGTTGTGTGTTATATTCAGAGAGATTTTTCTGTTTCGGGATAGTACCTCATCCTAGTAAGAGTAAAATGAGCAATTTAATATTTCACTCTTCTGTGTAAAATTCAACGTCTTAGCGGGCTCATTTTTTAGTAATAAAATTATTTGTAAATATGTGACTCCATTTAATTGTAATATTAATAGTATTAAAGTTTTTCAAAAGTGTCTTGTTTCTACAATTTCTTTGGGAAGAATACTGAATTTTTCTATTCAAGTAAATAAAATTTTCTTGACTATAAGTTTAAAATTATTCACTTAAATAACCTTAGAGTTTAAATTAATTTTATTTTTATAGAATTTTCAATTTTATACAAATAAATTTTGCACGCACGTTTGTAAATTTGTGTAACAAGTTGTACGCGTTTGTTCTATATATATTTTATTAATAAACATGCACACATATGTACATTTTGTATAATATCTTTATCTATTCATAATTTTTCGGTTTTCTTTTATAAAAATCATAAAAAAAAAGCTTCATAGCCAAAAGTTAAAGGCCATAAAGAAACCTGACGTACATTCTCTGGACTTTCTTAATTTTTTTTGTTTGTTTGTTTTTTGTTTTTGTTTTATGTTAGATTTGTCAAATTGTACTAAGGAGACCAATAAATCGGTTTAAGTTAACATGAAAATAAAAACCTATATAAAAAGGATAAATGTTTTTTTCTGTGTATATTCTGCTTGCTGTTTTAAGGATAATCATAAACTTTATGGGTAAAAGTTTCCACTTCGGCGTCTTTGGGAGTTGTTTACACACAGATATGTTTGTATGTGTATAAGAAGCAGCATATCCTATATTTTATAAAAAGTCTTAAAGTATTTCTATTTCAAATAAGAAAGTTTTACACCTCATAATTTGAGTTTTTATTGATTTATACGTTTAGATAGATTGTTGGTTACGGTAACTTTAAAACTCAAATTGTGTACAAAATATTTTCCTGGTTTCAATGTGTCTATTAATAAAATACTACTAGAAATGCCTAAAATTTTTAAAGTGTTTGAAATTTTTTTAAAATTCTGAAAATTTTTAAGTGTTATAAATAGAAATTGTTGCATGAATTTAAGTATTTATTTTAATAATTTCAAATTTTAAATTATTATAGGCTCATCTGCAAGTACATAGTATAAGATGAATTATATGGAAAACGTTTACAAGAATAAAATTCAATTTTGTCCAACTAGACTTCCTCATTCTAGAAAAATGTTACAGATCGAATCTGTTCATAGTTCCTCAAACATATCCAATGTTAGGTTTATAGAAAGGCAGTAATTTTCTAAAATCATAAATTGGAACAGTTTATGGAAGGGAATCCCAACAGTCTTTAGTAACGGTATTTAAGTAATGACGTTGTTTTAAATATTGTATTGAATCTTATTTAAAAAATCAATTCTAATTTGAAAATTGATTCTAACTCGATAAATTGGGGGTAGTTCTTTCTTCCATTTCTTAGGTGGATTCTGTATATTCAATGAGGTAAACCTGTATACATTTTATTCATAATAGTGCAATTCAACATTACAATAGATCAAATATTTTGCATTGATTGTGTTGCAATGGCGAGCAGCATGCTTACACCATGTAATACATTTCAAATTCATTTAATTTATTTTAATTTTATAGGGGGTATTAAGAATTCGTGATTGAATCAAAAATAATAGCTCTATCCATATACTATTTAACATTTTGATAGTAAGATGAAAAATGAAATTTTTGAGAAGCTAAAGAAAGAGTTGTAACTTTTAAAATTTTGAATACTGAAAACATGTTTAAAAAAATTCAAACTCAAGTTAGTTCCCTTAAATCTTATTGATTAATCCAATTATTTGTCATCACCAGCACCGTTTCCATCAATCGTAAGTATCTTTGACTTTTGCTTGTAGAGTTTATTGTTGTTTCATTTGAATTCTGGCAATTCCACAAAATTGAGTTCAATTCCAACTGAATAAGGTAACAGAAGGGACGCTGTTAAACCTTCCATTTTGGATTTAGCGGTTTTAAAACATACACCTTATATGACATAATAGAGCAAAATAAATTTACAATTTTCCTAAAATAAAATTTTCCTGTCAATAAAATTGTTCACAGACTTTCGCGAATGAGTACGTGAAAATTAACTCTGCGTTTTAATAGAAAACTTATTTTTAAAAAATTTGCTATTACAAGATATTTAAAAAAAAAAAATTAATTGAGCTTAAATTTTATTTTAGTTTATTAGAAAAAGACCTTTATCAGATTGTGATTCATGTGAATGATCAGTTTAAATGGACGAATTATTGAAAATTGAATGTAATGAAATAATTTTTTCATATAATTTTAAATTTTAAACATATTATTACCCCAGAATAAACCTATAAAAATTATTATAAAAATTATTTTGTTTCTTTTTTTTTTTTTGGTGAATTTAAAATGGATGGTAGAAAAATTTGGTGTTTCCGAACCGATCAAAAACACGAATTTAAATAAACAAATGAACTGACATGTTTTCAGAAAATTTTGGATTCTGTTGTAAACAAAATTAGGGAAATTGAAGCGGAAACAACGTACAAAACACCCCACAGACTGCATTACGAACAGGAATTTTATCGGAATTTATTCCCTGCACCATAATTAATAATTCTTATTTGAAAGTATGATTAAAATTAATCCGAAATAAATGAGTAGTGCTACTTAATTATTTCGGATGAGACTGCGTAAAGCCACATGTTATAGATCAGCCACATCATCAATCCAATCTCGACGCCTCAAAGTCGAAATTAGTTTCTAATATGTGGATAATAGCGACGGTTTTTAAAGGTCCTTAACTCTGTTATATAACAATAACAATATAGAAATAACTCTGTTTGGCCAAATACTTAAACAAATTTTTGTTAAGTGCCCGTATTGAATCAATTGCTTTATACACCACTTTCTTAGTTGAGCATTTTAAATGCAAAACAGATCTGAATATGTTGAAGTTTCTAAAAAATGTATACCTTCTTAGTAAGAAATTTGTACACAATGTAGCCTGCGTAAACTATTAATATATTTGAGTATAAGAGAACTTTCTCCCCAATCGCGTTGTAGCTAGAATGAACTGATCAAAAAATTATTTTTGTCTATTCAACTTAAGTTTTAAAACGCTGCCTACAACAATTTTCCATAAATTAATTAATTTTTTTCTGAAGTGCTAATTTGACTATTCAAAAATTAATTTTAAGATTTTTTAAATTATAAAAATTCTAAAAATAAAAGCGGTTTTCAATTTATTAACGTCGTAAATTAAATGACTCAACTTTTATTAAAAAATTTCCTAATCCTACCTTCAATGAGTTTGTATTTAAAACAGTGACAAAATCATTATAAAATTAGTTTTAATTTACTCTTTGTCATTGGAACTACACCGCTAATAATCAAAGTAAAGGAAAATGGCAAAGTTTCAAATTATATTCTTTGTCTTAACTGTTGCTGTATTTTGTGTGATATCTGCTAAACCATTTAATTTAGCTCCTGATGATGATGACTCAAACAATGGAAATAAAAATATTTTCAAGAGATCTTTATATTTAGATAGTGATCCCGAAAATACTAGTGAAAAAAAAAATGGAGATGATACAAATCCACCACCAGATCAAGGAAAGAAACCAATTTTTAAAAGATCAGCTGAACAACTTCCAAGTGATTCAATGAATGAAGATGATGATTCCAGTAGCAATCCTAAAAATATATTTAAACGATCACCAGATGATCCAGCTAAACCAGGACCACCACCAGCAGGATCACCACCACCAGCTGGTGCACCACCAGCTGGTAAACCACCAGGACCACCAGGCCCACCAGGACAACCTGGTGCACCTGGTGCACCTGGCGCTTCACCACCACCAAGTACAGCATCTAGTTAAATGAAATTCGAATCAAGTCGAGTGATTTAATTTCAAAAAAAAAAATTTTAAGAAAAATGTTAATATTTGTGCATTATTTAAAGTGATTTTTGAAAACAATGAAATATAAAATAAACGTGAAAATGGCTTAACTTTATATTGGTTATAAATTGTTTTTGGAAAAAATTCAAATAAGTGCAGACATAATATATCAGTGTCTTCTTTCACGTTTCTAGAATGGATTCCTTAACTTATAGAACCAGTAACGGATTTTGCTCTGCCGCTGACCTGTAGTATGTAGAATGTTTCGAAACAGTAGCCATTCTAAAAGTAAGTAAGATAAAAACTCGACCGATAGCCTTTGAACCTTTAGAATGGAAAATTCTTTTAGAACGGAAGTTACTTTTAAAAAAATGTGAAAATTTAAAAATTTCACGAAATTTCTCTAAAACCTAAATGGCTTTGCTCTAAACTTAAGAAGCTTTATTGTTTTCTCTATTCAAATTGAATTTGACTATTCAAATTTGCCAATACAAACAACGAGGTTGAGTAGCTGCCATACAACTTAAGAAGATGATTCAAAATATTTTAAAAATTAATGAAAATATTAAATATGAAATTTTGTAAAATTTTCCAATTACATCTTCTATGAATTCTGAATGTTTTAATGGTGAGTGGGGACTGTATCGATACTGGCAGTCACCCAATTTTATAAGTTAATTATTAGGGTGGGCATGTTTCCAATAAAATCTCAGATATATCCTATAAGTTTTTGTTGAAATTAGACTTTCGTAGTACCCTATTTATTTTCAATAAAGTCATATATAGATTTTAATTTTGTGTTCAAATTGATATTTTTTATTTTTGCACATTAATTTGGAAAAAAATTACATATAATTGGAACATATCCTCCAAATGCATCCTTCCAATCATTAACACTGAATTCTGAAAGTTTACAAAAAGCATTAAGTTTTTTCGAGGCGAATTCTGCATTTTCCTGCACATTCTAAACGATTTTTATGCTTAGTTTATAATAGGCACTATGTAGCGCACTCGATACTTCGCCTAAGTTAATTCAGTTTTTATAATATGGAAGCCAAGGTAACATATATATGAACTGAGTCTTCTCTAATTCGACTTCACTTCAAAAAAAGAGAGATATTCCAGTATATTAAAATTAATTTAATTTATTATAAATTAAGCATACCCGTAAAAGAGAAGGCGGAATTTCTTTAAGAAATACAATAATAAAAAGATTTTTTTAAAAAAGTGTTAAAGATTTTCGTTTGAACATAAAAATAATAATAAAGGTATTTAAAAAAAAAAAGAGAAAGATTTTCTTGATTATTTTCTCCATATTTGAAAAATTCCATAAATTGGTTTCTTTTTTTTTTTTTGTGTAATTAAAGAAATCTAAAATTAAAATCAAAAAGAAACAAGGTAAGAGGAAAATTGATTTTTCTGCTTGCGAGAATGCTTTTCTCTGTTCTTTTGCGATAATCAAAAATATCATTTTTAAGATCGTTTTGTTGTTCCCTGCAATGTAAGAGAAGAAAAGAAGAAAAGAAAAAAATAAATATTTCATTTTATATATCATCTTTTTTCTCTTTCTTTTCTTCTTATTCTTCTTGTTCTTTCTTTTATTATTTTGTTGTCATCTATTTTTTTTATATTTCCTTTTATAATTTCCCTTCTTTTATATTCCCTTTTCTTCAACTTTATACACTGTGTGCATTAGATCCTTGCCTTTAATTTCTTCTCTTTCTTCTTCTTATTTTTTATGTAGTTCTCTAGCCTTTGTTATCCTTATACCATAGGAGTTGAAGCTAAAAAAAAGAAAAATATTATAAGAAATGTGATGCTTTTATAAATTTGTTCCTTTAGGTAACAACTGTAAAAAAGTGAAGAAAATTTAGATTAAATAATAGAGGACATCTTGATTTTCTTCTCTACTTTTTTCTATATATTTTTTTTTTTTTTTGTAATTTGAATTCTATTTTTATAGTGTACAGGAAAAATTATTAAAAGGCAAAAGCTATAATTTCGTTGTAATTCTTTTTTTTTGGTTCCATACATTATATTTCACATTGACCTCTTCCATATTTTTAGGTACTTACATAAATAATACAGAATTGTATGTATTATCAGATTTTTATTACTATAAATTTGTGTATATACCTACTTTTTACCGCCTCTGCTTTAAATAAATTTCCATACATGTAAATCGTGCATAATGTAAGAAATTTTATCTAGTTTTTTATTTGGAATTCCTTGAATTACATTTCTTAAGAATTAAAACAGATGAAAACATGAAGTTTCATAAAAAAACAATATTTTAATTGTATACTTGCTTTCGAAGAAAAGAATATTCTGGAATTTGAGGAAGTCACATTCAATTCTTTGACTGACATCTCCGGGTATATGTTGACCATTAACCATACATAGGTATTAGTTAAGGGGGTCAGTATAGCATATATATAAGAGGTAACTGTCTTGGCTACTAGTAGACAATATTTTCTTCTCCTGGACAAATTGTCCATACTCAGCATATGGCTTGGAATCCTTTTCGTCTCTACTTCAAGGCGACACATTAGAAATTTATCGCCCTAGTGTAAAAATTTGTATTTAATGATATGCTATCAAACGTATCATGATCATGAGAATGATATTAATTCTCACGGGATGTTAAAAATGTCAAAATTTTGAAGTAACTGCAAAATTTACAAATCAATGTCAATTTCATGAAATCATTTGCAAAGTCAATTATATGATTCGATTATTTTGAGTAATTGGAGTCATTTGTCGATGTTTGTCGTATAATAACTTAAAAAAAATACAACCGGGCAATTTGTATCTTCTCTGAATAATTTCTTAATAATCTCTTAAAATATACATATATGTATGTCTTCTTCTTCTTCTTTTGGCTCTACAGTTCGGGGTGAACTTTGGCCTTGTATCTTCTCTGAATAATTTCTTAATAATCTCTTAAAATATATATGTATGTCTTCTTCTTCTTCTTTTGGCTCTACAGTTCGGGGTGAACTTTTGGCTTTGTGGTCTATGTTCGTCCATTCGAATCACGTGCGCTGCCCATTTTAAAAGTTGCGACTTGCTAAACCTTATTATATCTTCGCCTTTAATTAAAGCGTTAAGCATGTGTTCTTTTCCTATATTCGCCGTTTTCTAAATTTATGAGCCCAAATACTTTTCTCAATACCTTTCTTTCAAATATTCTTAAATTATTTTCATCTATTTGATTCAGGGGCCATGCTTCGCAGCCACACGTTACTACCGAACGAATAATTGTTTTGTAAATTAGAATTTAAACTTGTCGCATAGTAATTTTGATTGAATTAATTTTTTATTTGCAAAGTAACATCGGTTTCGTGCCTTAATTTTGTCTTGTGTCGATTGTGATATGCTGTTGTCGTTGCATAATAATGTACCAAGATGATTAAAGCTTGTCATTCCTTCAAACTCAAACGAACCTGTATTTACATTTTCAATGAATTTTGTAAGCGGAAGCATTTATTTATTTTGCTCCTATAGCTTACATTACCATTTTTTCTCCACGGTAATTTACAATTCTTGTGAAAACATAGTACGTTTTTCAATCTAACTTGAGCATAAAGGTCATTTTCAATGACTTCTAAATATTCCTTGCTGGTTAACCATTTCATTATAAGAGCACAACAAGATTTGACTATTCCAAAATTACCTTTAATTAAAATAAATAGATCTCAGTTGCATTGACTTTACAAATTTACATAGAGTACATATTTAGAATATACAATCAATAATCAAAGAATTTAATGTCATTTCTCAAAAAAACTTTTTTTCGATGTCGTAAATAAGTTCAAAATGAATTTGTTGTAAATTACACAAGAAAATTATATTTCGAATGGAAAACATAATAGAAATAGTCCTTCATCTAGTTTCATACATACAAATGAAAATATTGCTGTTCTTCTTAGAAATGGAAAACTTACTTAAATGGAAATAAAATGTTAAAGGAAGATAGACCTGGCAAATTAACAAAAATGAAAAAGAAGAAATTGTAAGATGACTAGGAAAAATAATATAAAAATTTATTTGAAAGTAAATCGGCTGTTGTTCTTGCTTCTTGGTTCTCCATACAAATACATATATATGTATGTATATGTGCAAGACGAGTCTTCTATGAAGATCCTACGAATAAAAATCACAATATTTTAGTTCCAAGAACAAAGGAATTATGGAACAAACATTTCATCTTATGTAAGTTGCTTTTTTGTTATATTTGTGTTATTACCAGAGCTGCCAAATATTTGAGAAGAAAAGGAAACTATGAATGTGTTTACATATATTTATATGTACGTATACATATGTATATGGTTGTACTCATAATATTGAGATTATGATAATTAAGAATTTTTTATGAAGTTTTTTTGTGTTTTTCATGTCAAAATGAAAAGCAATTGTTGAAAATTACTTGAAAATTTAAAAGAGAAGTTAAAAGAAAACTTTAAATTTTAGTAAGCAAGACTATTAATAAGATAAACAGAATCTTTGATAAATTGTTTCGAAAACTCCCGTGATTTTTTCTAAAAAACATTAAAAAAAAACGTATAGGATCGAAAGTTAAAGCGAAAGAATTTATATTTTCAACTCCCTTAAACCCTGTTATACTAAAATTGAAAATTGTTTGAAACATGTCGCCGAGATCTACAACTTTTATTTCGAGAGATTTTGGGAAATCAGCCCCGTGACGTTGCGCGGTTTCGATAAAGAGATTAAGAAAAAACATGTTTCTTTCCTTCCATAAACGAGTTAAATCACTATTACACTGTTAATCCCCTCATTATGAAACTTTAGAAAGTTTTTAGAAAATGGTGTTTTTCTACGGCGGCATACCATAATTAAATATTAATAAAGCAAAATCGCTGATAAAGTTAACCGTTATCTAAAACCCGATGTATGTTGTAGGAGTCTGAAATTTTGGTAACTTTTAGATACTTACAAATTGGTTATTTCGTTAGAAG